AAACCCTCCAAACCCCTAAACCCTAAACCCCTAAACCCTAAAGCCTCCAAGCCCCTAAACCCTCCAAACCCTAAACCCCTAAACCCTAAACCCTCCAAACCCCTAAGCCCGAAACCCGAAAGCAGCCCGGTAAGGCCCAAGCCCAGAGGCCGGCGTTCTCGATCCGCATCGCACGCTTCAAGCGGAGGCCTTTGGGCACAGCGCCGCTGCGATCCTGCCAGAGACGCTTTACAGGATGCTGAAGGGGTTTTAGGGTTTAGGGTTTAGGGGTTTAGGGTTTAGGGTTTAGGGTTTAGGTTCTACAGAGGTGCACAGGGGATGGGTGACCGCTTTTTAGGAGGGGTTTTGGGGGTTTGTCAGGCTCTAGAGGGCTTGGCAAGGCTTCAGCAAGGCTTCAGATGAACATGTGTGGCTCAATAGAACTAGGAGAAGCCTTGATGCCGTGCAATAGCAATCCCACATCAAGAGATTTTGTGAGTTGTGTTCCGCATTTTCCTTGTATTTCTTGTAGAGTGACACCTGGCGTTTTTGGCGACGTGGTAGGAAGCTCGGGATTGTCTACAGCTCGGGGCTTCTTCTGACGACGACTACCACAACTCCTCTTTCTCCTCCTGCTGCTGCCCCTCCTCGTCCTACTACCACTTTGAGGAAGTTTTGTGGGGTTGAAGGACTTTGGACAGTGAGGGTGTAGGCCTTCATGACCTTGCTTTATCCTGAACCATAAACCCTAAACCCTAAACATCCCTAAACACTAGAGGGTTTTGGGATACTCATAAACTCCAAACTCTAGACCCTAAACCCTGAGAATCACCCAAACCCTCGATACCGGCACCCCCCCCTGGTGCGGTCCCTCGTGCGCACGGCCTTGAAGGTTTTGGCCAGTGCCTCTTGCAACTGCCCCTGCACCTCCGACCCTTCGGGAATCCTCGACTCATCGTAAGCCCTAAGCCTAAATCGTAAACCCTAAACCCGAAGCCCCTAAATCGTAAACCCCACACCCTGAACCCTAAACCTTTTAGGGTTTCTGCTTATGCTTCAGGCTTTGGGCGTTTCAGGCTTTGGGCTAACATAGGGGCCTTAGCAATTAGAATAGGGTTTTGGGGTATATTATAACACTGTTATCATAATAAGGAACCCCCAAAATAGTATAGGTAACTATTTAGGCCCCCATATTAGACTGTGGCGGTTTGAGGGTTTGGGGTTTAGGGCTTGCGGCTGTAGAAGTTTTGGGTTCAGGCGTTCGGACCTATAAGGTTTCGGGTTTAGGGTTGGGGTCTCAATTGAGGCGTTGGGTCTTTTTCAGGGCTTAGCTTACTTAGACAAAAAACCAGGCGCCGATGAGTCCCAGTAGACTTCTACCGAACATCCCAGCAACCACAATCATATAGGGGCCGTAGCCCTTAATAATTAGAATAGGGTTTTGGGGCCCATTATACCAAAATAANNCCCCCCCCCCAAAAAAAAAGTGCAATTCTCTAGGCCCCTATAAAAACAGCGACTTCAACTTTGTCCCAGAATCTGCTCGAAAGTGGTCAGCTCCTGCGCAAAAAGGCGGTATCGCAAGCTGCTACTACTGCTACTGCTACT